ACTGTACAGTATCAAAAGCTTTGCTATAGTCTGCATAAACCATTAGAGTTACCTCTCCTTTCTTTGATGCTTGAATCAACGCGTCTCGAATACCCAGCAACACAGTTGTTGTCGAATGCCCTTTTCGAAATCCAGATATCGTAGCTCCAAGAAGCGCCCTTTCTTCAATATACGCAATCATCTGATTTAAAACAAGCCGCTCAAATACCTTTGATAACGCCGGCAAAATTGAGACAGGTCTATAGTCCGCCTCACACAAAGGTTGATCTATTTTAGGGATGGGCGATATTCTTGCAAGTTTCCACGCTTCTGGAAAGGTCGACCTAGCAATACAATTGTTTATTATGTATTGTAAAGGACCCGCCAGATGTTCTCTCGCCAGTTTTACAAACTTAACCGGTATATTATCAATGCCAGTAGATGTGTCTGAGCGGAGTTTGTCAATTTCACACAACACCTCACGATGCGAAACGGGTCGTAAAGAGAATGATTGCTGTGGCGTTGTACCATCGGAAAGAGAATCAATGAATTCAAGTAGATCTGATAGTGCAGCTGGCTTGGTTCCTAATGTCCTTTCGTTCGTATTAATAAAATAGTCATTGAGTTTATCTGGATCTGCGTGAAGAGGCTTCTTATTAGGGTGGAGAATATGGTGTATCATTCTCCATACCTCCTTTGGTCTGTTAGAAGAAAGAGCAGTTTTAATAAAGTTTCGTTTTGTTTTATTAATAACAGACTTTATCTTGTTGTGAACTTCTCGAAAGGCCTTCCAAGAATCATCACTGTTGGTTTTGTGAGCTTCAAAGCGCAGTCTGTCCCGATCCGCCTGTAGTTTTCGTATTTCATTTGCATTCATCCATGGTGCAGGGGGGCGTGTTAACTTGATTCTTTTTAATGGAGCGTGTCTCTCTATACATTCACTAAACAAAGTGTTGAGTGCATTTACCATGTCGTCGGGTGATTCTAATCCATATATTACGGAGAACGGTAGGTTAGCGGAGTCTTGAAGAAATTCTTCGGTTACAAATTTCCTCTCCAGCCGTATCCATTTGTATCTAGGTTGAAAACGGCGCACACAAACGTTTACACAGGCAAAAACTGCATCATGGTCGCTGATCGTAGGAGCTGGGATTATTCCCGTAGCTGCCTCACAATGCGGGTCATTGGTTACAATATGATTGATTATATTAAATATTATTATTGATTGATACTTTTTACTTAGAGGATCATTAGGTTTCAAGATTGAAACTTTTTACTTAGAGGATCATTAGGTTGCATAGCGGGACTAAATTGTCGGGCTGGCTACACCACTGGTTGGGAGCACTAAGCACTGTAGTAGCTGTGGCCAAATAGATCTAGTTCATGTTCTTGAATAATTGAGATACTGTAGTGAGATATTTTATGCTCAGCATACATTGAGGATGGTCTGGTACATAGTGTTGAGAACCTACATGGCCTCGTCAAGGAACAGGCAGATGATCAATGTTTTGCATAATGAAATTCAAGAAAAGAAAAGAAAAGCTCCACAGAAATTTTGACAAAAAGAGACCTTTCTATTCTGATATTTGACCCTTATGTGGTAATGTGCCTACTTTATTATTTTACTCTGTCTAATGCCAGACAATTTTACTTGTCAGGGGAGAGTGCTGTTAGATTAGTGGGTTAATGCCCCATGCATTTTGTTAACCCTGTTAACTCTGCCCATGCATCTTGTTAACCCTTTAAGTGGCAGTGTGCCAAGATGCGCCCTACTTTATTATTTTTTAAGCCACACGATTTTACTTGTCAGGGAAAGAGTGCTGCCACTCAATGGCTTAAATTGTTGGTTTGGATAAAAACACAATTCGTTGTAAACTGATAGAAGAGGGGGCTAAATAGAGGGAAGTGTGGCTAAATGGAAGATATATGTCTCTACAGTAGAGACAAGCTGGTCATAAAAATTGATGATTACCGACACAGATTATTTGGCTGATTGTACTGGCCCAATTAATTGACATTTGGTGATTATCATTATGTTGCAAGTCACCAGCCCCGTATAGTCGTTATAGATGACTGTGCATTAGGTTAAATTCATTTATTAGCACTTTGTGTTCCTTGAATAATAAAAAAGAGTGGTAATAATTTATAATCGTTCAAAATCATCTGCATTCATTCAAATTTTTGGTTATGAAACGTCCCTTTAGTCTTCAATACAGATGCATCTCAGAATAATTAGAATGTATTTGATAATATTTCATTCCACAAATTTGATTAAAAAAGTTGAAATTTTATTCCCAGCAAATCATTACATGTAAAAATAAAATATTTGTAATTTTTTGTTTTAACATCATAACTACCACGGCTGTTGCTAGAGGGGGGGGGGGTGAAATAGGGTGAAATTTTAAGAAAAGCAATATTAATTAGCGACTGAAATATTGTCAGCAAATGCGGTACTACAGTACACACCTCCATGCTTTAGCCTCTTTGCGACGATCCTGTATACTACAATACAAACATATGTGCGCAGACTAGTTTAAATGGCCAGATAATATTCTATTTTTTTGAGATGCACCTGTATTATATCATGCTGCATGATAATCAACTAAACTTTCAAAATGTTTCATAAGACATAAATCAAACCAAATCACTTCAGATGTTAAAGATAATTTCAAAATGATTAATTTAACTTCACAATGTACGTGAAGGTTAAATGGCAATGAAATAACTAATTGTTAATTAATTACTGTAAAATAAGGGTTTTTTCTGCAACTCTTTTCATTCTTGATCAGATATGAAAATTAAATAAATATATTTAATATGCATAATGTTTGATATGCAAATTAAATGAACCTATTACATCACAAGTGGGTTAACAATTTTGAATGATGGCAGTCATACCAAAGTCTTAAACTTGGCAGCAGAATAATTACAGATCAAAAGACTGTTCACTGCCGCGAAATTACATATGGCTGGATTCCACTAATGGTGCACGATATTTGTCCGGGTGTAGCACCTTGGAAGGATTTTCCAACGCAATCTGACATAGTGGAAAAAGACAGTTTTGTTGCTCAAACCTGTAAATAAAAATTAATATTTATAACAGAGTTGTTTATTTTATTTCCAATTTATTTTATTTCGTACAATGACACCATTTTACTGTCAGCGTATCAGATCATTTGAAAGGTAAAGATATACCCGTTTACGGATACGATATCTGCACCCACACCCGTAAAGCGGAACCCGGGGTATATTAACCGAGGAACACTTGTTACTAAAGTTTGTCGTCGTCTAGATTCCATAATCTTAAAATGTTGTCACAAAGATTACAGTTAAGATTATAGTTATACGATAAAGGTTAGGATTATGATTAGAGTATTAAGGGATATATACATATGATTGGGATAAAAATTATATGGAAATTGCCCGTTTCATTAGCAAACAAGGTATCAAGGATTGTTGTATTAAAGTTAGTTGAACTTTTTTATCTGATTGGTTGATTTTAGATCCCATTGTTTTTTCCACCAATAAGATCAGTTTGTCACCGATTTTCGCACTGTTATACAGCCGATTTTTGCACTGCTGTTTGAGAATAAAAATTGCACTGAATAATATTTCCATGTATATAAACGCATGGCGATAAAACATAATACTTTTGTTTGTGGAAACACCACGTAAATTTATTACTGCAAGTAATAAATAACAAAATAAGAACAATAATAAAAATAATAAAATAATAAAAACAAACTTGCAATTTATAAAGCAATAAAAAGAAATTTATTACTGCAACTAACAAACTTGCAGTAATAAATTTACGTGGTGTTTTTACCGACAAAAGCATTATATATTATATAGTAGTAATAGTTTTCCTTTCCTGCCATTCAGGTGAATCGGTCTCTGTGTCTAGTATTGTGCTCTGCTCTCCCCCTAGGCCTATAGTTGAAATTTATATTGTGAGAAACTTAAGCTGCGTCAGGTTGACTTTGTGTTGGTTCGAATCCAACTCGCAGTCAATTATTTCACAATTTTTAAATTTTAATATATATATATAGTTTTTTGTTTTACCTCAAAAAACCACAACAGTCTGTTTCCTATACGGATGAAACAGACTGTTGTGGTCTTTTGAGGTAAAACGAAAAACTATATTACGCTCTATCTATATGGTATTGAGCACTGTTTGTGTTTCGTAAACCAAATCTTAAGCTATATATATATATATATATATATATGCATTTTTATTGGATCCACTATTTTAGATCGCGATAAATTACAAGAAAGGTAGCATTCGACAGCTAAAAGACTGATCTTTAATATTGGTATGAAAAAAGTAAATGGTAACATGCCAAAAACAGCCTGTATATTTTACTGAGTTGAAGTAAATGGAAATTCGCACCCTATGTCCTATGGATCTGCATAGCCATACTTAATAAAAGATATTCACCGCCGTCTGCGCTCATTTAATTAAATTTCCATTTGTTACACACATTTTTAGCGGCAATCAGCACCAAGTTGGAAGAAAATATCATATCGAATTCCACTTTAAAATGTTTATAAAAAATGAAGATATTACCATGGCGACATGAAATCGCCAGTGTAAACACCCTGCAATATAACTGCAAGCCCAGTGCAACTTCACTGTGACAAGCTACAAATATTTCGATTGTGATCGAAATTTATCGCAACTCGCTGCGATTTTTCAAAAAGATGTGAACAAAATACGACTGTGCTATACCCCTCAACGGCAGGCATTGTCACCTCCAATAAAGGCTTTCACGCCGTTTTTAAAAGCAAAATTGCTCAGGTAAATCTAGCCTACTATAAATGCAGTTAACTATCAATAACATATGTGAATAGGGAAATTACCTGTTTCTCGATATCGTATCAAGAGAAAATAGCGCAATTACAACATGAAAACCAAGATAAAAACGAAGAACAACAAAGTACTGCAGTACTATAAATATTTACCGCGTTCACTTTGGTCTTTGTCTTTGTACTAGAAACTTTAGAACAAAAACTGGTGTTTCTATTCGTTTGTGTGCGAGTGTTAGTTCAACACAGAAAGTTTCAGACCATTTTGCGTGACATAGCCAAGTCTTGCCCTTGGCTTTTATACGTTGTATTTTTATCGGAATAAACTAAAACAGGCGACGAACAGTCGGGAATTTTTTTCTACAGCCAAACACTTATCAGAAAACAGCCATAAACAACCTATTAGGCAAAATCTTTGTATTGCTTGTAAAATTAAATGAAATATTGAAAATTTAACTCAGTTTACAAGCCAGTAAAATGGAAAAATCGCTGCAAATTGCAGGGTGATAGGGTGTATATACAAGACCCCAACACGACATCCGTGAAATTGACCCCATGATAGAAATCGAATTGCAGCAAGAAATTTTACAAACTGTTTTAGATCACTGAAATATATGTAATTCCAAAATTTCAGGTTTATTCATTAAATCTAGCTTTGTTGATGCATATTAGGGTCAATTTTGGTGTAATAGGGTGTATATATAAGACACCAACATGACATCGGTGAAGTTGACCCCATGATAGAAATCGAATTGCAGCAAGAAATTTTACACACTGTTTTAGATCACTGAAATAGATGTAATTCCAAAATTTCAGGTTTAGTCATTAAATCTAGCTTTGTTTATGCATATTAGGGTCAATTTTGGTGTAATAGGGTGTATATATAAGACCCCAACATGACATCGGTGAAGTTGACCCCATGATAGAAATCGAATTGCAGCAAGAAATTTTACACACTGTTTTAGATCACTGAAATACATGTAATTCCAAAATTTCAGGTTTATTCATTAAATCTAGCTGTGTTTATGCATATTAGAGTCAATTTCGCTGTAATAGGGTGTATATATAAGACCCCAACACGACATCCGTGAAATTGACCCCATGATAGAAATCGAATTGCAGCAAGAAATTTTACAAACTGTTTTAGATCACTGAAATATATGTAATTCCAAAATTTCAGGTTTATTCATTAAATCTAGCTTTGTTTATGCATATTAGGGTCAATTTTGGTGTAATAGGGTGTATATATAAGACCCCAACATGACATCGGTGAAGTTGACCCCATGATAGAAATCGAATTGCAGCAAGAAATTTTACACACTGTTTTAGATCACTGAAATAGATGTAATTCCAAAATT